GGCTCCTGAGGTCCGGCTGTCGGTGGGGGGGTGGCCGTGCGCCTCAGCGCTTCCCCGCGCGCCCGGCCCCACGCAGCCCTGTGGGGTGTGAGCTGTGTCTAGACCACAAGCCTTTATTCTACCTTTGGCCAGTGGTCCCACGCTGCACCTGGAAACCGGTCACTTCGGGGGTCCCATCGTGCCTCCAGAGGGCCAGAAACCCAATCCCAGCAGCCTGTGCGTTCTCCCTCCACACCCTCCCCGGCACGTGTTGCTCTCTGTGTCTGAACAAGAGCCGTCAGTCGGGGTGAGATGATAGCTCGTTCTGATTGTGTGCCTATTCCTACTGAGTCGTGACCTCAGGGCCCGAGTGCTGTTTCTTAGCTTTTGCACTCAAGGCTGGTACTCTACCACTTGACCCACACCTCCACTTCTGGGTATTTCCTTGCTATTGGAGATGAGTCTCAAAGACTTTTCCTCCAAGCCGGCTTTGAGCCGTGATCCTTAGATCTCAGTCTTCTGCACGGCTGGGATTACAGGTGTGAGCTGCCACTACTCACTCCCTCATAGTGGTTTTGATGTGGTTTCCTGCAAACCAGGGATGTCAGGCATTTTCCCATGCCCCGTGTCTGCTGTTGTTCACTCATGTGTTGAGTTCCTTCCATGTTCTGGAAATTACTCCTTTGCCAAGGGCAGAGGTGGCTCTTCTCATCTCTTCTTTCAGACCTCTTGCTCTGCAGCTGTCAGCATCTTAGTTCGATGCCATTCCATTTTTCTGCGGTTCCATTTATGTCTTGTGTTTTGAGTCATAGCCAAAATCATTACCTGAACTGATGTCTGAAAGCGTTTCCTGTTTCCTTCTACTAATTTCAGCTCTTGCATCAAGGTCTTTCTTCCGCTTTGAGTTGACTTGTGTGTGTACAGAGCTGACGTGGAGTCCGTCTCAGGCTTCTGCAGGTGACATCCGGTGTCCCTGGTGCTGAATGGGCTCCCAACACAGCCCATCCTGGCACCACTGTGTGTTTTGGGCAGATCTTTTGGGAATTCGTTGGCTTTTGATGTGTGTCTTCTGTTAGGTTGGTCTGTGTGTCTGTTTTCCTGTCAGCGCCACAGTGTGTTGGATCCTGGTAGTTCTTGAAGTCAAGAGGTGTTGAGGTCTCCAGCTTGGTTCCTAAAGCTCAGGGTTGCATGACCTCTGCTGTGTCTCTCACGCTGCCTGTATGTCTGGCATGTGGTGTGATTGTTGTTCTGCGGTGGTTGTTTAGGCCAGGATAGCCTCAAACGCATTGGATAGCTGAGTGTGAGCTCAGACCGTCTCCTGAGTGTAGGGATGCAGGTGGATACCACCACATTTGGCTAGTGCGGATGTCTTACCGGTATTAACTCTTTGGGTTCATGAATGGAAGTTGCTTTTCCAACTTGTATGTATCAGTTTCTCTCACCAGTGTTTTGCACTTTTTATTGCAGAGGTCTTTTACTTCTTTGGTTATATTTATTCCTAGGGTTTTTTTTCTTTGAAACTATTATGAATAGAATTGTTGTCATGATTTGTTTCTCAGAAAATTGGTTGTTGGTGTTTACATTCTTCTATGTTGGCTTTTATATCCTGCAACTTTACCAAATTTTTCAGTATTCAGAGTCTTTTGCTTTTCCCCTACATAGAAGCGTGTTCTGTGAAGGGATAATTTGCTTTCCCCTTATTCTTCGTATGTTTAATGGCAGTACTGGACTGAATCAGAGCAGGAAGTATGGGCCCCCTTGTTTTCCAGATCTTGATGGAAATGCTCTCAGCTTTTTGCTGTTCAGTCTGTGTGTTCGCTGTCATGACCTTTACCATGTTGACATATGCTCCCTCCATACCGAATTTCATTATGGTTTTTTGAAGGGATGTTGACCCTCCTTTGTTAAATGCTTTTTTTTGGCTAGGCACTGGCTAGGCACTGTCCCTAAGCTTCTCTGCTCAAGGCTAGTATTCTACTACTTTGAGCCACAGCTCCACTTCTGGTTTTTTGGAGATAGAGTCTCAGAGACTTTCCTGCCTAGGCTGGCTTTGAACTGCGATCCTCAGATCTCAACCTCCTGAGTAGCTAGGATTATGGCTGGTGTGAGCCAACAGTGCTCAGCTTAAATGCTCTTCTTGTATCTGTTGAGATGATCATATGATTTTTCTCGTTTATGCTGTTAATGTGACATTCATTGGTTTGCATGCATTGAACCATCCTTGTGTTTCCGGTATAAACCCAACTTGACCCTGGTGAAATGGTATTTTTAACGTGTTGTTGAATAGTTAAAATCATTTTTTCAAGCATTTTGTGTGACCTTGGCAGTTCGGTTGATTCTATCCTGGCATATTTATGTTACTTTGCGTTTGGTCTTGGCTTTCATTTATTATTTTGTACCATTGTGTGGATGGGCTATGCAATGGGTGTTTGCAGTAGGTATGGCTAAATTAATACTCTCAAAGAAATTGTTCTTTCCTCCCCGCCCCCCGTAGGCTCCTCCCCACATCTAGGTTCTCAAACAAGCCTTCCTATTCCTCATTTTTTTTAATATGAAATGTCACCATAGAGGAGTAAATTTTCCAAGCCTCAGCTTTCTGGCTGAGTTTGGAATGGACTTCATTTACATCTTCTGGTAATTTACAGCCCCCTCGAGACACGATAAACACCGAAGCACAATGTCTTTTGTGAGCAACTGAGTCAAAACACTTGAAGCACCTGAGCTTAAGCAAGCCTTTCTCCGCAGGGATTAAAGACTTCATGTGTGAGCTGTGTGGGAAGACGTTCAGCGAGCGGAACACGATGGAGACGCACAAGCTCATCCACACAGGTAGGCCGGCCGTGCGCCCGCAGGGAGCCGCTGTGCCGTTCCGTGGACACTCCTGGGACACCGGTGCTGCCTAGGCTTCACCACGGCGGCCTTGGACCTCTGGCGCCCACCACAACGTTTGGGTGTCCGTTCTTGAATTCCCAGTATTGGTGAGGGACGCAGGCCCCTTGCTCGGTGGTCCCCGGCTGCGCCCAGCAGAGGCCGGGGCAGGTCAGCCTGGGAGGGGCCTGGGGGCCAGGGTGTCCCCCTCCCCCCCCCCCGTGACTCCTGCTTCTCTCTCCCCCCTGCATGTGCGCGTGTGAAGTGGGCAAGCAGTGGACATGCTCCGTGTGTGACAAGAAGTACGTCACCGAGTACATGCTGCAGAAGCACATGCAGCTCACCCACGACAAGGTGGAGGCGCAGAGCTGCCAGCTGTGCGGGACCAAGGTGTCCACCCGGGCCTCCATGAGCAGACACATGCGGAGGAAGCACCCCGAGGCAAGCGCCGCCCCGCCCCTTCCAGCCTCCTCCTGCCCTCCATGGGGGCCACTCTGCCCACCTCCGGCCCTGGGGCGCTGGTCCTGCTCCAGCACTGGCCACCGCCCGAGCCCCCGAGTCCCTTCCCACTCCCGCCCCTCTGGGTGGCTCTCTGCCGCAAAGAGACGGTGAGGACTGGAGAGTAGCAGGGTGGGCTCTAAATGACCTCTCTGGAGAGCCAGCTCGGGGCCAGCATGGCCTTCCCCGTTCCCGTCAGATGACCAATACACAAAGCACAGGCACCATGGGGCACCAGGGGACCGCTCTGAGGACCCAGCGCGGGACATGGATACAGAAGTAGGGGCCTGGCCTCCCTGAGAGCGCCCTCTGAAAGCGGGGCCAGGGTCACCCTAATGTGCTGTGCGCTAGAACAAAGACACAAGCCGGGCGCTGGGGGCTCACGCCTGTCATCCCACCTACCGGGAGGCTGAGAGCTGAGGATCACACTTCAGAGCCAGCCCGGGCAGGAAAGGCCATGAGACTGATCTCCAATAAATCAACAGAAAACCAGAAGCGGCACTGTGGCTCAAGTGGTAGAGCGCTCACCTTGAGCTGAAGAGCTGGGGGACAGAGTTCAAGCCCCACAACCGACAAAAAAAGAAGAAACGGGGTGAATACTCTAGGTCACTGAAACTGGAGATGTTATAAGCATGGAGCAAGTCACTGGCTGTGACCACTGGGTTTTAGGATGGGAAAAAAGCAAAGGGCGGGGTCAAGACGGCTCAAGTCACGTGCTCACGCTGTGGCGAGTTCACGGAGGAGCGTGCGGGAGGACGCGGGGAGCTCAGGGGACCCACGCAAGCCAGGGGCCCCGCAGGGGCCCCCCAGCCCTCCCTTTCTGGCCACTCACCTCACTTCGGAGACCCGTCAGGCTGGCCTCATTGCCGGATTCGTCTCTGATTTCCGCCACACTGTGGATATTATCCCATCTTCCTGTGTGCGTGTGAACTGGCACAGGGCTTGAACTCCTTGCTCTGTCCCTTAGCTTTTTTACTCAAAGTTGGCACTCTACCACTTGAGCCACAGTTCCACTCCCAGTGGTTAATTGGAGTTAAGTTTCACGGCCTTTTCCTGCCTGGCCCAGCTTTCAGCCTCAGTCCTCGAATCTCAGCCTCCTGGGTAGCTAGGATTACAGGTGTGACCACCAGTGCCCTACTGTCCATCTTCTGTTCCCTTGGCTGAGCAGCAGCTGGAAGGTGCTTGTGCAGTTGTGGGGTGAGGTTCGAGAGCAGCCCGCGTCCGCTTTCCACAGCCAGCTCCCTTCCTAGCTGCCCCCTTAGTCCATTCTCTCCCCCGCCTGCATTTTGTTGTCTTGCTTATCATTTAAACCAAGTTGTTGCGGTAATAAGTGTGATGAGCAAAATCAGGCTAGCAAGGAGCGTGGGTCATCCTGCAGCAAGAGCTGTGTGACACCCACGGGGCCAGTCGCGGGTGCCGTGCCATGTGCCGTGCCATGCTGGGGAGGGAAGCCAGGGGAGGGACGGTGAAAGTCATGGGGGGCTGCACCTGGGGTGGGCCCAGGGCGTGGGCTGGTGCAGGGGGCCACCTGGGGAAGATGGCGGGGCGGGGTTAAGGAGGATGAGTGGGACAGGCCCATTGGTGCAGGGTCAGTCCTGAGCAGAGGAGAGCTGCCACTGGGGTGCCTGCCGTGGTGACTCACGCAGTGCTCTGGTCCCTGCGTGTGCACCGGGCAACCATGGTGGGGGGGGGAGCAGCGTCCTTACTGGCTGCTCTGTGCCCTTGCAGGTCCTGGCTGTGCGGATTGACGATCTGGACCACCTCCCGGAGACCACCACCATCGACGCCTCATCCATCGGCATCGTCCAGGTGAGCGGCGGGCCCACCTGGGGCCCCGGCCATGGACAGACAGCAGCCTTGGGTGGGCCGCTTGTGGGTGCCTCGTTTCTGGTTCTGTGCTTAGCCCTCTCCCAGAGCTTTCCAGAACATTCTGCCCACGGTGCTTATACGGACTTGCAGCTCTGTGTGGGGAACGTGGACACTTTCGCTGTCCCAAGGACACACTGGGTGATCTGAAGTTGGGAAGGAATGTTTAGTTCATTCCTTTATAACAGCTCTGTCGGATCACAAGGCAGCGTGTGGTGTGGCTGGTTTCTGAGAAGCAGCGCACGGTTGGGCAGTGGTTCTTTCTCCCCAGGGTGGAGAACAGGAGGAAGGCCTGGCCCAGCCCAGACTCCCATGAGCCATCTGTACCCCTGGCACAACACCCAGCCCAGCTGCTGCTGCTGGGTCTGCTACCCCTGGGTGCCACACTAAGTCTGGGTGGGTGACAGTGACAGGTACTGGGCTGCCCCGCCCCCCGGGAAGAGGCACAGGTGGCTCGCCTGGCCCTGGCTGCTGGCCCGTGGGAGCAGCCGGGCTCGATGGGCTTTGTGGTTAAACCATCTAAATACAAAGTAGTCCGCCCTGGCTCCGCGCGGCGGAGGGCGCGCCCGGCCCCGCACTGGCTCCGCGCGGCGGAGGGCGCGCCCCGGCCCCGCACTGGCGGCCACAGGCCGCCCCTCCTGCCAGCCGCTTCGCACATTATCTCTGAAAGAGCCTTACAGCTGAGGCCAGGTGTGGCCACCAGCTTCTGTGGCAGCCTCTCCCCCTCTCCCCCTCTCCCCCCACCCCACTTCACCCCACCAACCCGGTCGGAAGCTGAAAGTGCTCCCCCCACAGCCCGAGCTGGGCCTAGAGCAGGAGGAGCTGGCGGAAGGAAAGCACGGGAAGACTGCGAAGCGCAGCCACAAGCGCAGGCGGAGGCCGGGGGAGGAGGCGGGGACCCCGGTCCCCGAGGAGGAGGCCGCCTTCGGCGAGTACACGGAGAAGGAGCCCCAGTTCACGGGCGGCGTGGGCGATGAGACGAACTCGGCGGTGCAGAGCATTCAGCAGGTGAGCTGGACGCCCGCGCCTGCCCGCCAGTGTCCGCGCTCTGGCCCTTTTCACCTGTTGGAGGCCCAGAGGCGCCTCCCACTCCTGACCAGACCACCTGCGTCGTGGTTAGCAGCCCACGGACGAGAGCTGGCGGGCAGCTCCAGGCTGTGTCCACCTGGGGAGATTCGGCGTGGCCAGAGAGGTCAGCACAGGGTGGCAGCCCTGGGCTCTGCTGGCCGCACTGCTCCTCCTCCTCCCCTGCTCTGCCCCCCCTCCGCCACCCGTTTCCGAGCTCTGAGTCTCTGGCAGACAGGCTTGCTCCGCATGATGATCCCCACGGAGGAGGGTTCCCTGCAGGCCTCGGCTGCCCTTCCCAGCCACGCGCGCCCGTCCAGCTTCCGCTTGTCCCCCTCGAGGTGGGGCGGAGGAGCGGCCGCCTCTGCTTCTGTCTGGCCAGCCGCGCCCCCTCATGGCTTCTGTGGGCAGCAGCCGCATTTCCTCTTCTGTGTGCACCAGTGCTGGGGCTTGCACTCAGCCTGGGTGCTGTCTCTTAAGTTTTTTCCACTCAAGACTGCACTGTACCACTTGAGCTCCACTCCCAGCTTTTTGGTGGCTAATTGAAAATAAGAGCCTCCCAGGCTGGCTTTGAACTGTGATCCTCAGCTCTCAGCGTGAATCGCTCGTACCCTCCTGTATTTCTGCTTTCAATGACCCAGGTTTTACCTCTGGTCCTTCAGCCCAGGGTGAGGTCATCCCCAAGGGACTGCACCCCAGGACCCCCGCCCCCGCCCCCCGTAGGCTCCTGCGTTTTCCTATCTTCAGAAACAACTCACTGTCTCTCGCTGCCTGTGGCCCTTGCAGGTGGTCGTAACCCTGGGGGACCCTGGCGTGACCGCCCCACCCAGCTCCGTCGGCCTGACCAACATCACCGTCACGCCCGTCACCACCGCGGCTGGGACTCAGTTTACCAGCCTGCAGCCGGTGGCCGTGGGGCCCCTCACCACCCCTGAGCGCCAGCTGCAGCTGGACAACTCCATCCTGACTGTGACCTTCGACACGGTCAGCGGCTCCGCCATGCTGCACAACCGGGCGCACGACGTGCAGCTGCACCCGCAGCCCGAGGCCCCCAGCGCGCCGTCGGTGGCCCACTTCATCAACCTCACCACGCTGGTGAACTCCATCACGCCCCTGGGCAGCCAGCTCGGCGAGCAGCACCCGCTCACCTGGCGGGCCGTGCCCCCGACGGACGCACCGCCGCGGCCCCCGGCCCCCCCGCAGCAGCCCGCGCAGCCCCAGGTGCAGCCCGAGCAGCCGCAGATGTTCGGCTACTGAGTCCGCGCGAGCTGGAGGACGGCCGGGATTTGTTTGCTGGATACCAAACAGGAACAGGGCGGCGGTGCAGGCCCGCGGGCCGCCCGGGCTTTGCAGCGGCCCTGCCAGCTGTGAGGCCCATGGGTTCGGTGGGGGAGGCTGCGCCGGCAGGCGGGAGGCGGGAGCTGGATGGGGCTCCTCTGTGCACGTGTCTCAGCCAGGTAGTGCAGCCCTGACGCCCAGATCCACACTCCCATCGCAGGGCTTGGGGAGAAGGAGCCCTGGAGGCGAGGGGTTCGTTGGTTTTCGTTTTGAACTTAGTTGCTACTGAAACGCAGACAGTCAGAGGGGGCAGTCACAGTGTCCGCACTGAGCTCCTCGCGCCTAGCATGGCGACCAAGCAAGCGGATCCCCCACAGAAACGCGGGTCGCTGGAGCCGCTTGTCAGAGCCGGGGACCGAGGCCCGGGTGGTCTGGCCACCCACCACGCCCGGCAGCGTCGTCTCCATGTGGCCAGCGGCCACAAGCAGCGCTGGGGGGGAGGGGGGAGGGGTAACGTTGCTTTTCATTCTATTCAGGCAGATCTTACTTATTCCAGACCCAGACAGTAACCCTGTCTGTGCATTTTAACATGAAGTCACTCACACTGTAGAACTGTCCGTGTGCATCCAGCTCTGCCCCCACGCTAGGGGCAGAGGCCCAAGGTGTGGCGTGGGGCCTGCGTGGGGCCTGGCTGGCTGAGGCCGAAGGCGGCTCCAGCGTGGGCTCAGGACTCTCCCACCCGATATATTTATTGTGACTGAAGTTCAGCCACCCCCTCCCCCCCCCCCCCCCAGCGGAGAGCAGGAAGGGACCTGGGGATCTGGGGTTTTTTCTGTGTGAGCCTCAGGTGCAGAGGTGGATGTGCGGGAGGGTTTCCTGGAATGGCTCTCTCTAGGGAGAGGCAGGTGCCCTTTCCCACAGGCGGGGATGGAGCGGGGGGGGGGTGAGCTCCCCGGGAGAGGCGTGGAGGGTCTCCTGCATGAGCTTCCTGACACGCTCATCCACCAGGGACCACCGTCCCCCGCTGGCACCCCGAGCCGGCAGCCGGCAGCTCTTTAGAGACATGGGGAAGGGCGGGTCTTACTCGCCCACTTTATTTTGTCTTTGCCCCGTAGAGACACTGGGTAAAGGAGGCCCAAAAGTCTGAGATGGCCAGGGGCCAAGAATGGCCGGTGATGCCAAATGCCACTCTGGACCTCATTCTGAATAAGCAGGTTTGGGAGGGGGCAAGAGCTGGCATGCTGGGCATGCCCTCTGCAAAGAGGGAGGTCCTGAGCCAGCCCCGCCCTGCGGCCAGTTTCCCAGGCCTGGGCCCCACCCTGCAGTGAGAGCCTTCCCCCCTCCCCCCCTCCCCCCCTCCGTCTACACCCCCGTTCTCAGAGTGGGAGAACATTTGACTTTAATTTATGATTATTTTATGTTATTTATGTATATAATTAACTGCTTTATATGCAGTACCTTCATCAAGTGAATTTGGTTATAGATGAATTCTTTTCTAAAGCATTGTCTTCATTCTCCAAATACCAGGCGTCCGGCAGCCCCCAGGTATTTTCTAAAAACCAGTAACCCTGTCTGTGCATTTACAGAATCTCAAGGCCACGTGACCCAGCAGAGAATCCACCGGGCCTCGGCTTACGACTAAACACCCCTAGTCTCCGCCTTTACTCCTCCTCCTTATGCAATAAAGGCCTTGGGATGTTACGTTTTTATTTTTTAAAAGATTTGTTTTGTGCCTCCACTAAGAAGCATTTGATGTTTTTACAGAACTTGGCCCCATGCGGGGCCACTATTTGCTTTAAAATACAGAGGTGTCTACTTCTTGGTGTAATAAGTGAAAATGCAAATAAAAGCCAACTTTTTCCCAACTTTTTCTGTAGATAATATGATTTTCAGAGGGCCGATGTCTTAAAGCAGGTGCATTGATCTGCGTATGGGAAAACAGGACAGCAGAGGGCGCTACGTGGCTGGGCCGGTTCCGCACATTGTTCTGCATAGATGCCATTGCTTATTGGTGGAATAAAGTATTTGAGGTTTTCTGCTTGTCCAAATTGTGCAGCTAAAAAAGTAGACTGTGCCAGGCACTGGTGGCTCACGCCTGTCATCCTAGCTACTCTGGAGGCTGCGTTCTGAAGATTGTGATTTGAAGAGGAGCTCGGTCAGGAAAGTCTGTGAACTAAGAAAAAGTGGGAAGTGGCGCTGTGGCTCAAGTGGTAGAGCGCTAGCCTTGAGCTGAAGAGCTGAGGGACAGCGCCCAGGCCCAGAGCTCAGGCCCCACAACCAACCAAAAAATAATAATCAAACATCTATCTACATTTCCACTTTTTAATGTAAAAGCTCAAATCAGAAGTAGTAAAAATCAGCCAGACGTGGGTGGCTCACGCCTGTAATCCTAGATACTCAGGAGGCTGAGATCTGAGAATCATGGTTTGAGGCCAGCCCAGGCAGGAAAATCCATGAGACTGATCTCCAGTGAATCACCAAAAAAGCTAGAAGTAGAGCTGTGGTTCAGGTAGAGCGCTAGCCTTAGTGAAGAGGCTCAGGGACCGCGCCCAGGCTTTAAATCCAAACCTTAGCGTGTGTGCCTGTGCATACACGTACACACCAGCTTTGCTGGTTGTATCCTTGACCACCTGAAGTGGCTCCACAATCAGCCCTGCCCCACCCACCCCTGCGGTCAGGTGTGGTCAAAGCTGAACTTTTTTAGGAGCTTATTCACCCATCAAAGCCAGACTTGTGACTCGCAGGGCTCTGCCGGGCAGTGCAGTGGGAACGGCTGCGGTGGGCGCCCGTGCCGGCTGGCGTGACTCAGCCAAGCCCGGCAGCGTCTGCAACCTCAGCTCAGCTGAATCAAGTTTTATAGCCCTTGGCTGCAAGTTGAGGGCCATCATTTCAAGCCAAGAACAGGAACATGGCCGAACTCCCCCAGACATGATTTATTATTGTATGAGGAAGGAGGGCCGGGGAGAGTTCACAACTGCATGCAGCATCCCAGACTCGTAACCGGGTACCTGCTTTTGTTCTGTTCCTGGCTAAGGTCAGATCGAGGAGGCCTGGTGGTAGCCTCTGCCTTTAGCCTTGCACCCCCTGGGCCCACGCGTTAACTGCTCAGCAGATCTGACCTTCCAGAATTTCCTCCAGATCCTTTCTCCTCTCTGGCTCTCCCAGGAACTCTGGCTCTCTTCCAGGTTTAAAGTCTCCCAGTGTTAGCTGGGCACTGATGGCTCGTGCCTGTAATCCTAGCTACTCACAGTTCAAAGCCAGCCTGGGCAGGAAAGTCCGTGAGACTCTTATCTCCAATAAACTACCAGAAAACCAGAAGTGGCGCTTTGGCTCAAGTGGTAGAGCGCTCACCTTGAGCTGAAGAGCTGAGGGACAGCGCCCAGGCCCAGAGTTCAAGCCCCATGACACACACACAGACACACACACACACGTCTCCCAGTGTTATTTTGCATGTTCTCTCAGAAATATCTATTGGAACAGGAGCTGCGGAGGTTCGAGGAGCACAGGGCACACGTAACTCCCATGCTTTCTTTTGCATCTGAAGTTAGGAGGTGATGATATGGATAAAAAGATAACTGTCAGGACAGATGGACAGTAGGTGACTAACTGTTGCAGTTCCTAGGTCTTGTGTGAGTGTAATTGTGTGTGTATGTGTGTGTGGTGTGTTCATACACATGTGTGTACCAGTAGTGGGACTTGAACTGAGGGTCCTCAGCTGTCCCTCAGCTTTCTCATTCAACGCTGGTGTTTACTATGTGAGTCACAACTCCACTTACTGCTTTTTACTGGTTGATTGGAAACAAGAGTCTTAGGAACTTTTCTGACCTGGCTGGCTTTGAACATCAATCCTCAGATCTCAGCCTCCAGAGTAGCTAGGACTGAACCAAAATGCCCAGCTTTTTTCCCCCTTTTAAGTAGGAATTGAACTTGGGGTAGTGCACTTGCTAGGCAAAACACTCTACTACTTGAGCCACACCTCCAGCCGTTTGCTCTGGGTTTGTTGTTCAGAAAGGCTGAGCTTTGCCCAGAGTGGCTGCAGGCCAGATTCGCTGCCTCGGCCTCCTGAGTAGCAGGGGTGATCGGGTGCCCGCACACTTGGGCAGAAACTATACTTACATGCCATAAAGACAGGAATAAAAATGTAGAGGTTCGGAAGTCAGACGTTTTAGAAAGGATTTGAATTTTTTTCAAGAGAGGGCCATATTTTTCCATTAAAAAAGATAACTTTAAAAAAATATTTTTAACCATGAGACACGTTCCTTTTGTTTCTACAGCCCAATCATCACTCAAAAACTCCTAAACTTACTTCTGCTTGTTATTGAAGAGCTTTATGTGGATAGAAGGATAAGAAAAGACATGTTATAGAAAAATCTAAGATTCTTTAAAGGTATCTATCTTCATATCTTAATATAACTTTCACTGACGGGCCACACAAATTTGTGCTGCGATGACAAATTTAGGGCAAATCCAGATTCAAAACAGATGGTTCTTAGGAACTACCTGAATTTATTTTTTTTTCGGTCTGGTCGTGGGGCCTGAACTCTGGGCCTGGGCGCTGTCCCTCAGCTCTTCAGCTCAAGGCAAGCGCTCTACCACTGAGCCACCTTCCCAGCCCCTACCTGAATTTTCTAGGAGCCCTTACCCCAAAACTGCCAAGCCCAGGGGTCCCAGATAGCTCTCTGGAGTGAGAATGGACAGCTGGCCTTGCTTTCTGTTTCTGAATAAGAAGACGGCGTGCGGCACGCGGTGGGGGCAGGTAGTGTGTAAGGGTCCTGCCCGGAGTGCATCCTGCTCTGGGCCGCTTAGGCTCCTCAAATCTGCATCTCCCATGGCAGAAAGTTGTTCTCAGTCAGGTGCCAGTGGCTCACACCTGTAATCCTAGCTACTCAGGAGGCTCAGATCCAAGGATCATGGTTCAAAGCAAGCCCAGGCAGGAAAGTCCATGAGATTCTTCTCTCCGATAAACTACTCAACACCAGAAGTGATGCTGTGGCTCAAGTGGTTGAGCACTAGCTTTGAGCACAAGAAGCTCAGGGACAGCACCCAAGCCATGAGTTCAAGACCCAAGACCGGCACTATAAATAAGAACGAAAGAAAGTTGTTCTCATAGGAAATGGTGGTAAGAAATTCTTTTCTTGGGCTGGGAAGGTGACTCAGTGGTAGAGCGCTTGCCTTGCATGCATGAGGCCCTGGGTTCGATTCCTCAGCACCACATAAGCAGAAAAAGCTGGAAATGGGGCTGATGCTCAAGTGGTAGAGTGCTAGCCTTCAGCTGAAGAGCTGAGGGACAGCGCCCAGGCCCAGAGTTCAGGCCCCACGACTGACAAAAAAAAGAAAAAAAATTCTTTTCTTCTGTGAAATCACTCAAAGACAGATGGACAGATAGAGAGGGAGAAGGTGAGGGGAAGGAAGAGGGAATCCTTACACTTGTACAGGGTCTGCTGCTAATGCTTCAGAAGATTTTTACCATTGATACTCATTTTGTTTGTCTTTGCAAATGAATGCTTGCAGTCAGTAAAGTGGGTGACAGGTTGAACATGGTCACAGCATTTGCTGATTCATTCTTGCAGTTTTAGCCATTTATTTTTTACCTGTACTTCTTTGCTCTTTATGTGGCTTTGTTATTGTTATTATTTACTTCATAGATTTTTTTTTAGGGGGGAAAGTACAGTGGTGTGTGTGTGTGTGTGTGTTTCCACTCAAAGCTGGTGCTCTACTTGAGCCACAGCTCTACTTCTGGCCTTTGGTAGTTACTTGGAGATGATTCTTACGGATATTTCTGCCCAAGCTAGCTTTAAACTATAATCTTCAGATCTCAGCCTCCTGAGTATCTAGGATTACAGGCATGAGCCACAGATGCCCAGCCAAATTATATTTTCTAAAAATTAAAAAAGAAAAAAATCTCTTGCTGGTCCAGGCAGCTCATGCCTGCAGTCCTCACTACTCGGGAGGCTGAGATCTGGA